TCGCTGGAAAGGGTGCTATCACTTGAACGGGTGCTGTCACTGCTCAGTGTGCTGTCGCTGGAAATGGTACTATCGCTTGACAGGGTGCTGTCACTGCTCAGTGTGCTATCGCTCGAGAGAGTGCTGCCACTGCTCAGTGTGCTATCACTGGAAAGGGTGCTGTCGCTCAAAAGTGTGCTGTCACTGCTCAGTGTGCTATCGCTCGAGAGGGTGTTGTCACTACTCAGTGTGATGTCGCTGGAAAGGGTGCTATCGCTTGAGAGGGTGCTGCCACTGCTCAGTGTGCTGTCGCTCGAGAGGGTGCTGTCACTGCTCAGTGTGATGTCGCTGGAAAGGGTGCTATCGCTTGAGAGGGTGCTGCCACTGCTCAGTGTGCTTTCACTCGAGAAGGTGCTGTCACTGCTCAGTGTGCTGTCGCTGGAAATGGTACTATCGCTTGACAGGGTGCTGTCACTGCTCAGTGTGCTTTCACTCGAGAAGGTGCTGTCACTGCTCAGTGTGCTGTCGCTGGAAAGAGTGCTATCTGCTCAGTGTGCTTTCACTCGAGAAGGTGCTGTCACGCTGGAAAGGGTGCTATCACTTGAAAGGGTGCTGCCACTGCTCAGTGTGCTTTCACTCGAGAAGGTGCTGTCACTGCTCAGTGTGCTGTCGCTGGAAAGGGTTCTATCGCTTAAGAGGGTGCTGCCAATGCTCAGCGTACTTTCGCTGGAAAGTGTGCTATCACTTGAAAGGGTGCTGTCACTGCTCAGTGTGCTATCGCTCGAGAGGGCGCTGCCACTGCTCAGTGTGCTATCGCTCGAGAGTGTGATGTCACTCCTCAGTGTGCTGTCGCTGGAAAGGGTGCTATCGCTCGAAAGGGTGCTGCCACTGCTGAGTGTACTATCACTGCTTAGTGTGCCATCGCTCGAGAGCGTGCTGTCACTGCTCAGTGTGCTGTCACTGGAAATGGTGCTATCACTTGAAAGAGTGCTGTCACTGCTCAGTGTGCTGTCGCTGGAAAGGGTGCTATCGCTTAAGGGGGTGGTGCCACTGCTCAGCGTAATATCGCTGGAAGGGGTGCTATCACTTGAAAGGGTGCTGTCACTGCTCAGTGTGCTGTCGCTGGAAATGGTACTATCGCTTGACAGGGTGCTGTCACTGCTCATTGTGCTATCGCTTGAGAGGGTGCTGACACTGCTCAGTGTGCTATCGCTCGAGAGAGTGCTGCCACTGCTCATTGTGCTATCGCTTGAGAGGGTGCTGCCACTGCTCAGTGTGCTGTCGCTGGAAAGGGTGCTATCGCTTGAGAGGGTACTGCCACTGCTCAGTGTGCTGTCGCTGGAAAGGGTGCTATCGCTTAAGGGGGTGCTATCGCTTAAGGGGGTGCTGCCCCTGCTCAGCGTAATATCGCTGGAAAGGGTGCTATCACTTGAAAGGGTGCTGCCACTGCTCAGTGTGCTGTCGCTCGAGAGGGTGCTGTCACTGCTCAGCGTACTATCGCTGGAAAGGGTGCTATCGCTTGAGAGGGTGCTGCCACTGCTTAGAGTACTATCGCTGGAGAGTGTACTGCCACTTGAAATTGTGCTTTCACTGTTCATTGTGATATCACTTGAGAGTGTGCTGGCACTGCTAACTGTGCCATCACTGGAAAGAGTGCTGTCACTAGAAAGGGTGCTATCGCTCGAGAGTGTGCTGTCGCTGCTAAGTGTGCTGTCACTGGAAAGGCTGCTATCGCTTGAGAGAGTGGTGCCACTGCTCAGCGTCGTATCGCTGGAAAGGGTGCTATCACTTGAGAGGGTGCTGTCACTGCTCAGTGTGCTTTCGCTCGAGGGGGTGTTATCACTCCCCTGTGTGCTGTCACTGGAAAGGGTGCTATCGCTTGAGAGGGTGCTGCCACTACTTAGCGTGCTGTCACTGGAGAGTGTGCTGGTGCTTGAAAGGGTGCTATCGCTCAATAGTGTGCTGTCACTGCACGGTGTGCTATCACTGGATAGCGTGCTCTCACTTGAAAATGTGCTTTCACTGCTCTCTGTTGCATCACTAGAAAGTGTCATTTTTGTGGTATCACTCATCAGTGTTGTCTTTGTGGTGTCACTGCTATATGGAGTAGTATCTGGTGCATGTGTTGTGAATTTTTTAGGCGGGCAAGGCTTCATTTCATAATATACTGAGTCATTATCTTCATCTTTGTCGTTATGGTTATGCCGGCAAGGCATTCGTTCTTCATGTTTGCGTTTAGGAGTATGTTCGCAAGGTTTTTTTTCTTTATTACTAGAGTCTGTTTTATGCTGGCCAGGGGTTTTTTCTTCATGGTTGAAGTCAGGAGTATGCCGGCAACGAGCTTGTTCTTCATGAGTGAAGTCAGGGGCATGCCGGCAAGCAGTTTGTGCTTTATGTGTGGAGTCACGCTCATGCCGGCATGGCATTTCTTCTTCATGGGCAGAGTCTTGGGTATGCGGCCAAGAGATATTTTCTTCATGTGTGGAGTCTTGTGTGTGTGAGCAAGGGGGAAGTTTGTTATATGTGATGTCATGGTTTTGCGTGTCATAGGTGTACCTTCTATTTGTGTCATAGTGGTTTGGAGTCTCTGAGGGAAATTTAAGAATACGCTGGATTGCTTCAGATGAAAAAAATGCCACATCTCGGTCGTCTGCTTGAATGTCAGGCTGTCCTTGGCTCCAATGGTCGGCTTCTGGTCCTAAATTCTCCTCAGTCAGGCTTGACCGTTTTCTCCTTGTTGGCAGGCTGATGCTTCCTGTGTTAATGTGTTGACAGCAGTGTTATGTAATGACTTTTTACTTACTGTTTGTTACATGTTAATTGGGAGTTTGCTGACTTACTAACAAGCAGAAGGACAACGGTGAACATTTTCAAAGTGATCATTCTGGCAGATGATGTCCTGTAAAGAGTAAATACATGAGTGTCACAATGACTGCTGCATTAATTATCCACCAATTTTCTACCACTTATTTCGGTCATGGGGTCTGGAGCTTTTGCATGGAAAGCCAGACTTCTGTCTCTACAGCCACTTATTCCAACCCATGAGATCCCATGGTGTTTCCAGGCCAGCTAAGAGGCATAGTTTCTCCAATGTGTCCTGGGTCATCCCAGGCCCTCCTATTGATAGGATGGGCCTGGAACACCTCCCCAGCGGAGGCGTCCAGGAGGCATCCTACAGACTCCCGGGCCACCTCATCTGGCCCCTCTCAACTTGGAGAAGCAGCGACTCAACTCCAAATCCCTCTTGGATGACCAAGCTTCTCACCCTATGTCTAATGGAGAGCCCAGACACCAGGTATAGGAAACTCATATTGGCCACTTGTATCTGGGATCTTGTCCTTTTATTCACGACCCAAAACTCATGACCATGAGTGAGGGTAGGAACACATATCGACCGGTAAATCAAGACCTTTACCTTTTGTTTCAGCTTACTCTTCACCATGTCAGATCGATACAGAATCCACATCACAGCAAATGCTGCACTGCCTGTTGATCTCACGCTCCATCCTGCCCTTACTTGTGAACAAGATCCCAAGATACCTCGACGTGAGGCAGGATATCATCCCGCGATCCTTCACCCCATCCTTTTCCAACTGAGGTCCATGGTCTCAGATTTTCAAGAGTTGATTTTCATCCCAACTGCTTCACACTTGCAAACCGCTCCCATGACAGTTGTAGATCTGTGGACATTTTAGTTCACGAGCAAAGACAAGATGAAAATTATGATTTCTTGACTTCGATTACTGCTCTTCAACCAAGTTTTCATGTACAGTTATTTCACAGTAAAATAATGCTAGGTGGGAAGTTGCCAGTCACGGGGTGGAAGTAAAGCTTTAAATGGCCATGGTTTGCATGAGGCCCAGTTGAAAGAGAAGCTTTGATATCTGGACATGTTTTTGCAATGTTGAAAGGGGAAAAAAACGTCCTTATGCTTGATTTTAATCCAAGGGAAGGAAGGTGGGCACAAGGTAGCTGACCCCCCCCTCCCCCACCCCCCG